ACCCAATAAACTGAATCCAACACTGGAGCTGCATAACGAGTTTAACTAGCAACATTATTAACCAGATATAACAGCAACCTCAGAGCAGACAAAGGACCCCATGACCACTAGGGGGCGCCCAGGAGCTCCATCACGCCCCCATTTCCGACCACCTCCAGTCCTCTTTTCTGCTCTGAGGTTTAAAATCACCACACATTCACATACAGTTTACACTTATTTTGGAATAATAGAGCTCATTTAGTGAAAATTATAGCTTATTTTTGAGGAAAAAACATCAGTTCAATTCTTTTCACCATCTCTCATTATTTTATTTTTTCTGCAGAGAAGTTTCCTGGTATCAAAGGTGCATCAGTGTAGAAAAAAGTGGTTTTACTAACAAAATCGGCTGATTCTTACTGATTCTCATGCTTCTTTAAGCACACATTTTGTTGCATTTCATTAAACAAGACGACAGGTTGCTTTCTCTCATTTGGCTTATCTTATTACTTTTAGCACCCTGCATGATATTCAACATCCTGCTTGATTCCTATCAGCTGTAATGTTAAATGTAAATCAGCTCAAAACTGCACCAGGAGCAGAACGGGCTCCCGTTTTAGACTGAAAACAACTTAAAGACATAATAGAAACAGAAGAACAGTCTTCATTTGGTGTTTTTCTGTCACCCTTTGATGCTTCAGATTATGAAAAATGTTACATTCAGACAAAGATTAGCTGAATAAATGTAGAAAACAGCTTTAAAAACCAATCAGAGAAAGTAACTGCTCCCTTTGTGATTGATTGTCCCAAACTTTCACTTCTTTTAACTGTATGGATTAGTTTTAGCTTTTTACTGCCCCCTAGTGGCCAGAAAGTGCAGTTTTAGAAAGATAAGAAATAGGTGCACATTTGTTCTTTAAACTCACCTCTGAAGTCCTCTCCAAGCGAAATGCCCGCCCATTTTCTCTGAAAGGAAAACAGCAAGCAGGTTTAAATTTGCATTAAAAATGTGTCTCAGATGAAAAGAAAGGTTCACAATCAGCTACCACAGACTGGACGGCTACACGTTTGACAGCATAACCTTCCTCTGGAAATGGTCTTATTTTACAGGATCAGCCCACTTAGCAAAGCTAGGATGGTTTGTTCGGGAGAGAGGGCAGAAATGGCTGCCGTGCTGTTAATCGGTACATTTCTTAAGTAAAATAAGACCCATTTGAGGAGGTTACAGAGGTACCTGTGTGCGACTGCGGCCGGCGGCTTTACAGAGAGAGGAAAAGCAGGCAGAGACGGGCACAGAAAGAAGGAAAAAGCATCAGGACCGAGACAAACAAACAGCTCCATGCTCAGAAAAAAGATCAGAAATCCACAAAAAAGTGTCATGTATTCCCAAAAAAGTCCAAATATTTGAGTCAAACTATTTTTTTAAGGATTTGTCAAACAGGTTGGAAGCCTTAAAAGTAGCAAAAGCTCAAATCAGCCCCCCCCCAAACCTCTGCAGCGTACCTGAGGAAGGCTGAAGGCGATGCAACCAGCACCCACTTCAGGGTGCTTCTTCAGGGTGAACACAAAGCCGCGTTTCTCGTTGTATACGATCACATGTCTGCAGAGAGGTGAAGAAAAAGGAAGAAAAAGAACATAGCAGCTTTGATTTTACAGAAGCTTTAAGTAAATTTAACCCGTTTTGTCGAAACTCCTCCAGTTCAAAATGCTTATTCAGATTCAGATTGATGATGCACAATATGAACGTATCAATAAGACTTTTTCATTGAGCTTTTCATGTCTTTTTTTTTGCTTTAAGAGATTTAAAGAATAAAAAAGTATCTTAGTGTTCGTCTCTGACAGACACCAAACACACAGAAAAATCAGTAGTGAGCAGATGAAAGCCATCAGTATGGAAAAAACACAGAAAAACTAACAAATGACCACATTAAAATAAGTTTAAAACTGAAAAATTTAATAAATTAGAGAAAGGACACTGCTAAAAATGACAACGTTAATTAGAGGATTTGTAAGATCATTTAACTCCTCTGGGTCAGTTGGGTGTCTCATCTCATTTTACTGAAAGACAATGTGGTTCCATGCTTCAGATAAAGTCCACCCACCCTTCCCCGTGTGGCTCCTTGTCATTGATCACAACACAGTTGGTCAATGACAGCTCGTCTGTGGGGCATTTGACAGCTTTCAAATTCTGAAAAAGAGGAGTACAGACACCAGACTTTAAATTTAAATCACTCAGAGGATGCAGTTCACTTTGAATAATCAATTATGCTGCATTTTACTGACTGAATATGCTAATTTGATCTGTCATTGACCTGAAATAACAGCACACAAATAATCATAAACTTGTCAAAATAGAATAGAATAAAATAGACTTTAAATATTTGTAAAATAACACATATAATGGCCGGTGGATCACATATGTGTAACTTTATTCATTGCTATCAGTGCTACAAGCATCCCGGATGTGTCATCTATCTGAGTTAGAACACTTATTCTGCAAACTGACCAAACCAATTAATTAAACAGGTGAAGCAGGAAGCATCAGAGCCAGGAAAAGCAATTTTGGGCTTCATGAATAAATGGTGTTTTATTTTCTGTAGCTACTTTTAACTCATAATCAGCAGCCAACTCAGCACAGACACTGTTTGTTGGCATAACAGTTGCTAAATTCTGCACCTTCCCCGGTTTATTTTATGGCTCCTGGTCTGTTTTGACCATTTAATGCTGCGACACATTCTTCATTTCACTCATTTTCCTTTTAAAAGAAAGGAAAATATCTACACGTCCATCATTGTTATAAGAGTCGTTAGAATGACACATACTTATAAATAAAAACAAACACTACACGGTAGCAGAAAGTGGTCATGGGACCTCTGATTCTCTTCCGGGCTGCCTGCTAACTTTTGACTGACAAATGATTCCGCCTCACCGGCTAGCTTAACGTGTCAAAAGCCTCTGGTCCTCGAGCAACATTCAAGGTTTTAAATTAAGTATTTTCCACCAGTGGCTGGGTTTACAAGTATTTCTAAACACTTCATTTCGTATAAACTTACCCGAGTAGCCATCGTCAGTCCGGTTCAAGTGCAACTTGGCACAAAAGTTCCGCTGACGGAACGACAGAAATGAGTGACGTACAAGGAGGTGGGGTCTGAGCACGCTTCTACCTACGTCATCACGCACGCAGCGTCATCAAACGAACACACCGAAAGGCAATGGAATTATCGGCTCTAAATGTAAATAACAAATATCTGATAAGGCTTGTTTTCATCTCTAATTTGAAAAAAAATCTTCAAAATCGTAAGAAACAAGGTGAATGTATTTGTATTGTATTGTAAATGTATTTGCATATTCTTATTTCCTCTCAACAATAAAAGTCCACAAAAGAAAAATTAAAATTACCGTAATAATTAAAAAAAATTGATATAACTTTTGCAAATGTGGCTTATTTCTTGCAATGTAAACATAAATACAATTTACATTTTTTTTTATTGTGTTTAACTCAATTACTATAAATAGCTGTCAGCATATTCCAAATAATTCCATATGAGCACTATGTAGTAATTTAGCTATTTGGTTTTTATGCCGTTTATTTTTACTTGTGATTACTTACACATTTACATGTCTATATTTTTTACTTGCTTCCTCTATGTGCTGAATTTTTTTATTGCAAGATAAAATAGAATGTTGTTCCATTCATAATTAGTTAGCTGCATTAATGAGCTGTGACACCTTATTGTAACAAACAAATCTAATCTACATTTACAGTAAAAGAGGTGAAATAAAATCTTTATTTTGGGGGGAGAAAAAATGCAGAAATCTGTACATTGTGAAATCTGAAATAGTGACAGCTAGAATAATAATAATCTAATGGAACAGGTCAAAACAAGATGTTGGTAGAATTCCTCAGAAACCTCAAAATACACGTTTCAAAACGTTTGTTCTTATTTCTAATTAAACGTCGGGAAAAGACGTTTCAATGACGGCGGACATATAAAAACCCTACACTTGATGAGATAAATCAAAATTAAAGACAATCAAGCTGTCGGTCAAACTGATTTAATGCCCTTTGATGTCACTGGAGATTCGAGATGGAGAGAACAGGAAGAAGATGACTCTTGGGTGGCATTTCTCTGGGCTATTTAAAGAAAAAAAGATTCTGACTGCCCATACGTTTGCAACATGACAAACACATTTTTTCCTTTCGAAAGACATCGGAACAGCTACCATTTTTCTGTAAGAGACAAAGACAAAAATCCTTAAAATACAAAATATTTATTTTTGAAAATGTCTTTGTAAGAGAGAGAGGAAAAAAAAAAAAAAAAAAAAAAAAAAAAAATAGAAACCAAAAAAAACCCATACAAATTGTTTGGTTACTAGCATACCGGACTAGTGCTAGGACCTAACAATGGAGAAGTGTTCACTCAGGAGGAGCTCATGGCGTTGGGAGGCGCGAGTGGAGCCGCCGGTTTCGAACCGGGGCGCCAAACGGTGGCACGAGTGGTGAAATGGCATCCAACGCTTACAACAGCCGGACATGTGGCAACCATCCGAATTTCCTTTTTTATTTCAAACAAAAAAAAAATACGCTAAAACCAGAAACAAAATGTGTCTAATACATTTCTGATCCAGCTGTGAGAGAGGGGGGCGGGGGTTCACTGTTGGCTTTGATATGGCAAAAAAGGGGTGTGGGTGGGGGGGGTTTCTCAGCATCCCAAAGAGTATCCCGACCTTCCAAAAACCGAACTGTGTGCTTCTGAAAGATATGGAGGAGAAGACGAGAGCCTGGGAGGCCACGGAGGTGGAAGGTGCACCTTTGAGGTGTCAGTGGAGTCGGCTTAAGGCTGGGCGGGCCCCGCCTTACAGCAGATATATAAACATATATATACTCTTAAACCTTTTATTCTGTTTTTCATTGTGGTTGTACAATATTCCCTGATGGCCTGATTTGGCCGCTGAGTGTTATACAGAATCCTGAATAGATATCAAAATCAAAGAGGAAAAAAAAAAGGAAAAAAAGAAAGAAGTTATGAAATTGTCTGTTTGGGAGGAGGAGCTGAGTTTGATGGGGGGGGTGTGGGAGGTTGGGGTTGGGGGGGGCTTTGCGGGACTTGCTGCTCTCCCTTATCCCGGCCTTTAAAAATGTTACACACGCTTTTAGCAAAAAACACACACAGTTCCTCCGTCTGAGCGGGCGCCGGCTGCTCTGAGGGCGAGAAACACAGCGTTCAGAGCAGAGAAGCGCCGGAGGGCGGCGCGGCCACGGGTCCTCACCTATGTCAGCTTCTTGGCTTTGTTGTAAAGAGAGTCCACCACTTTGCTCATGTTCTGAATGGTTTCCAAAGCTGCTTCGTACGTTTTGTCCACCGGCGGCTCCTCGAAAATGATCAGGACGCCCTCCCCCTGGTCCAGGATTCCTGGAGGGGGCAGACAGACACACAGCTGAGGCCTCAAAGCATTTAACATACTTTGTGTGCTGTAATTTCCCCAGAGATTTTCAGTAACGAAGTAGAAATACCTAAGTACTGTACTTACGTACCAAAATGCAGTATCTGTACTTTATTGGAGGATATATTGTTTTCCCTACTTTACTCCACCACATGTTTTTGATCAATTTAATACTTTTACTTTCATCTATACTTTTGAAGATGAGTATCGTATCCGGATACAACGTTTTAGTATCAATACTTTTTTGAATATCAATGCTTTTGACAACCCTTAAAAGACAGACACCACATAATAGTTTAGAATTCATGTATAAGCATCACAAACATCCATCCGTCCATTATGGTAACCGCTGATCCCCTGATGGGACTGGAGCCTATGCCAGTAGCCAATGGGGAGAGGCGGGGTTATCACAAATATAACGATTAATTAATTCCATGCTTCAGACACCAAAGCCAGAGTCTCGTTATAATCACACTGTACGGTTTACACTTATTGTCCATTAGATGGCACAATAGAGCAAATGAAGCATCATAAAGCTTCAACACATGAAGTGGATGAATTGGATGGAGCGCTTCAAAGCTTTATGAGGCTTCATCTCACGTCACTAGCCGTTCGGAGGCCGGCGCTGCTCTTTACCGTGAAACTTTCTGTCCAGGATCATCTGCGATAGTTTCCTCTCCACGTCGCCCTTTAAGAGAAAAAGAAGAAAGGTGAAAACAGGGCTCCGTCTCTCCTGGCTGAGGAGGCGGCTCGGCTCAGACTCACCTTCGGTAGTTTGATCAGATCCGATATGTGCTCGATCTGGAATCAGACAGAGAACGAGGTGAGCTTCAGGCTGTTTGCTCATTAAGAAACTAACCCATTAGGACATTTAACTGTGTTCATTCCAAGTGATTAAAAGCAGCTAATTGTCCTAATTAGGGATTTCTGATCCAGCTTTTATCACTTCCGATCCGATCCCGGCCTATCAGAGCATCTATTAAAGTTTAAAGTTATTTATTCTACTTACTTAGTTGTCAGACTCATGTTGAACAGGGATTTACTCTGATAACAACTTAATGGTTAGGACACAGACCTGTGGGTTAGGAGATGCTAATGCTAATGCTAAAGCTCGTGTGGGATCAGACTTAAAAAAAAACTAGATCTGGAGTCTGGATCTGCATTTTCTCCGCATTTTTTTGCAAATATCGGCGGCCGATCCAGATATTGGATCCTAGTTATGATCTTTTTTTTTTTTTTTTAAATAGAGTGCAGCTGAAGGCTCATGGATGCTCTTACCTGGACTCTGGAAAACGGTTCGATGACTCGAATGAGGTTCTGCTCCAGCAGGCTGTCGTACAGCTTGGCCAGGTGAGTGTTGATGATCGGGTCGTCCCTCAGCTCTGCTTTGTACTCTGTGAGCGCCTGGAAGGACACAGATCCATTCAACTACCGTCCGTACCCATGTGGGGTAATTAGAGGTTTATGAGAAACCCGAGCTGACCAATCCAATGAATCTCTATTTTATGTTTAACTTTTTCAATATCTGCCCACCAGATGGCGTCACTTTCTACCACCCAATGCAGCAAAATCTCACTTTTGACCTTTTTCTGCTGGTAAAAACATAGGAAGACCAACATCTGAACCGATCATTGTCTCTTGTAGGGCAAAAATAACTCAACAAAATTAATTTTATGGAAGTTACTTTAAGAATAGCCCGTTCCATAAAATGATGTCCCAAAAGCCCCAAATCAAAGGCATTGTAGACGATAATTCATTGTAATACAATTTGAATCAGACTCAGTTGATAATGACTGCATCACAAAAAAACTGGAGTCTTATTGGCTTGAATCTAACGGTATCTTTAAGGTTATTTCTAAATAAAATTTCATTGAAATTGAACTGAGAGCTTTCTGAGAAGACAAAGGTCGCTGCTTCAGATGTGACCAGACTGGCGCCCACTTACCTTCTCAAAGTCTGCTAATGATCTGTTCTTACTGGCCAGGGCAACACACTTCAGTGCATCTGTCTGAACACAAAAAAACAAACACAAAACAGCCTGTTAACATCAGAGCTGTCAGGGAAAAGCACGTTTAGAAGAACAAGTTGTTAAACCAATTGGTTCCACAACTATCGGTCCTTTTTAATGACTTAATTAAGTATTAAATGTTGTCTTCTGGACGGTGCACTTGCCTGTCGGCCGGTATACCGCAGACCCAGTTTCCCGCTGATCAGGGATTGTACCTCCTCTGGACTGAAAACAATAAAAGCCGACAGGTTCCTGTTTGGTCACTGACCTGCTTCAGTATTAACCCTAACCCTGATAGGTCACTGCACTACTCACAGGTTGAGCACGATTTTGCACAGAAGCATGTATTTGAGAGCGGTGATGGCTCGGGGACTGTCGATGGAGTCGTAGCCCTCGAAGGCCTCAAAGAAGTAGGAGTAGGCCGTCTTCCAGTCCTTCTCCTCCGCTGCGTGGATGATCCCTGCAGCACGGAGGACACGGTCAGCTCCCACAGCAGGACGAAAGGCAGATACTGAGAGCACAGTGCTGGAAACCACCGAAACATCGGCGCCTTTTTCCGATTTCACGTCGCCTCATGTGGAAAATCACAACACTATCAGGGCCTGAAGCTCCATTCCCAACCAAGCTAAGCTTTATTAACCCTGTAATGCCAAATGTATCATATTTGATACATACGGTTTCTGAAATGTTTTGCGTCTGACACCTTTTGCATAATTTAATGGTAAAAACTTTGCTCAAAATCCTATTGTACACAATCAGATACACCTGATAACAGGGGGCAGAAGACTACACGAAAAATAATCTATTTCTGTTTTTTCTTTTTATATATATATATTGTCAGAAGGCCAAATAAGGAATTCAAACCCAAAAAAATCATTTTCTGTTTTGTTTTATTCTTGGATCAGGCTTTAAAGGGTTCACACATGGTGGCCAGAAATGCTTCACCTCTGTGATCCAAAACATCTTTCTCTAATGGAAACCGACAAACAGAGGCCATCAGTGGCAGATGGGGCACAGATCGGAGGATTCAGAGGCTGGTTCTGACCTGACTGCATGTCCAGTGCTGCCTGGAGCTTTGGAGGACAGTAGATGGCGTTGGCGGTGGTTCTGGCCGAGGTGAGGGCGGCGCGGGCCTTGGGGAGGTTACTGAGGGCGTGGTACGTCTTACTTTCCAGCAGCTGAACCTCCACAAGCAGAGCTTTGTCGTCCATCTTTTTCAGCTCCTGCAGCAGCTGCGTGCCTGAGGAAGAGAGGACGAGCCCGGGTCAAAGTCAGGCTCAGAAACAGCCCATATTTTATTTGTCAGATAAATGTTGAATGTATTCACTCGTTGCATTCAAGTGAAGGAAGAGTTATTTTAAAAACTAAGCAAAAAGTCCAGTCTGAGCACTCACCAAGAGCCAAGGCCTCCTGGTATCTTTTGGTATCGAAATAGAGCGAGATCAGCCGGGCCTGAAAGCAGAGATGAGAAGAGATGAAGGAGCGTGTGAGGAGAGAAGGATGGCTGGGAACAGCCACAAAACATACTCACAGACACCCAAACTCTGCAGTTCTGCCATATTAAACCATCCCATCATCACCTGCCAGCACAAACAGGGGCTGGCAGGAGCCCCAGTGGAGATGGCCCAGCTAAATTCTGATATTCTTTAGTGTTTTTTATTTCTCAAAATAATTAAATACAGGCTTCTTTTTAGGTACAGGAACTTTTTAAAAAATACAAGAAACATTATTTTAATTTCATATCCAATAGTCTAAAGATTTTTTATTTGAGCCTGACTCAACGACTGATGCAAGTGTTTTTCCTCATTTTTTTTTTTTTAGATTGAAACATCCTCCCAACATGCCAGCACAGGTTTCCTGAGCATCCCTTTTCTCATCTTTCACTGAGTCATCACAGTTTCCCATCATATGACACATCACGGGAGCCTAAAAACCAGCTGACCTGTGTTTTGGTAGGTTATTCCCAGCTGAGTGTGCACGGCACCGCTCTTAAAAAAGGTCCTCTGACACGGTTTGTGGATTTGTTCGGTTTCATTTATGGAATTTCAACCCTGAGCACCACAACAGAGGTGTCATATTTAACAACTTCTGCTCCTGAAGCCACAGCGTCTCAGTTTCCAGAGCAGCTATTTATGTTTGAGCATATCATTTTTGTTTCGTCATCAATCACAAACTGTGTGTGTGTGTGTCAGCACTCTGTGTATCTTCATAGGCCGCAGAGGTACTCGCCACTCCTGGGTTTCAGTGGTGGCCACAGACACACGTGCTCAGTTTAAGCACCTGTCAGAGTACTCTGATTGACTTTTAAGAGAGTGGATCCTACAAAACAACCCCCCTGAGCAACATAGTTCTGCTCCTTCATTGCCTAATTATCCTGTAATTCTAAAAACCTTTATCCGTTAAGCAGTTCAAAGTTTAGCAATCAAACTCTACAGCATGTTCCAGATGTTTCCTCCCATTTGAAAATAAATGGTCTGACACTAACATGGCCCAACACAGCAAGGCCTGCTGATGCAGCAGTATTTTCCAGGAGACACTTTATTGATCACACACGTAGTGTAGGTTAGGTATTACTGAACCAGTAGGTTACGATAACCCTTCCCACCTCGAGCGCCTGTCGCAGGAAGGTCCTCTTCTCTGTCTTGGCCCACTCGATGCACTCCAGACACAGCTCCACCTCCTGCCCCGTGGCGGCCTCCATGTCCAGAAAGAGGTCGAGCAGAGACCGGACCAGCCGAGCTGCCTTGGCCTTGCTGATGGAAATCAGGAAGGGCCTCACAAATTTCAGCAGGCCCCCCAGTTCTTGACGGAAAAGAGAAAACCATGAACGCCCACAGACCACAGAAAGGAAACACAAAATTAAGAACATTTGTAATAATTAAATGTTCTTTACAAACAGTTCTGAAACAATTATGCCATCAGATTATCTCATTAGTAGCACAAATCAGTCTCATAATTACAGTGATTACTCCTGTTATCATGAAAGCAACACCAAGGAGTGTCAGGGGCAAAAAGGTTACCGGCAGCTTGTCCCGTCTTTGCCAAGAGGGTCCCCAGCTCCAGGATGCTTTGCTCCTTAACCCTGACAGCTTCCTCATCGTTCTCCTGAACGTCTCTTCTCACTGTTGATCAAAGGCAGGACGTTTGCCATTTATTTTCAAGTAACAGTGTCACAATACGTTTTGCGTCATTCATAAATCGTAATACGTGAATCCAAAGTCCACGGGTACATTTTAAAAACAATTCCTTCTGCTCAAAAACTGTGAGGAAACCAATTGGTATAGTTGAAAAATACAAAATGACAGCTGATGTTTCCACTTTGAGTTTAGAATAAGTAAATGTTTTGTTTTGAAACAAACAAAGTTCCAGTAGGCAACAATGGTGCAGTAATCAATCATTTAAGCTCCAGTAGGAGCAATAACTTCAGAGGTAAACAGGGCAAACGGACTGTCTGGCAGCTATGGGGCTGGTGTGACAGGGCAGTTTGAGGACAGCAATGTTTACAGAAACACAAAGCATTCCTTCAGTGTAACGATACACACATTCCTCATTGCCTCAGAAAAATCAACACAAAACATTGAGTAAACCGATAATAAAGGTGTCCCTATTTATAGGGGGGAAGTGATTCCCTGGTGACACAGAGCTGTTTTCTCTATGGTCAGATGATTACAGGCTAATAACGTTAGCCGTTGCAGTGGTCATGCTAACGAAACTGAGCAAAACGAAAACATCTCAAAAAGAATAGCCCTCATTCCCAAAACCAAAACAGCCCTGGCAGCTACTAACTGAAACATGCAACTCTAAGGCCTACACTTAGCAACGCTGCTAGCTAGCTAGCGTAGAGCGGCTATCTGTTACCGTTAGCCACCATTCAACAGTGAGTCAGCACGGCACACCGCCGGCTCGTGCCATGGGAGCCCGAGCTAGCATGCTAGCATGCTAACACCGCCGTCCGACAAAGGCTGAGAAATAACTGACCAAACAGGCCAGGGGACCAGCGTCCGCCCGAAAACACCCAATAAACACCCACCTATTGAATGAAGGATGTCAATAGAGGCATTGCGATCCGTGCTAATGAGAGACTGAGCCCTCTGAAATTCAACCACCGCCGCAGCCGCCATCTTCCTTATTCAAATACAACTTGAATGAAAATTACGTACAATGGGCTACGTTACTTAGGGTGGGTGACGTCAGCTTCGATAGGGATGCTGGAATTTGAAGGATTCTGGGAGATGTAGTCCAGCTAAAAATTCTTACTTGTTTATTAACCATTTTACTTATTTATTCATTCATTTACTTATACAAATAGTTTATTTGAATGGATTAATCAAATAAATCATTCACTCATTTATTTATCCAATTATTTATTCATTTAGTTATTAACCTATTTATTTATTTGTTTATGCATGCACTTACATATCTATATCATCCAGTTGTCTATTCAAATTCTCACTTATTTATTATTCTTTTTAATAATTCCGTTTTCTACTAATATATTTATTAATTTACTGACTTATTGTCTACCTGATTTGTCTTTTTTTTTAGTCATTCACTTATTTATTAGTTTATTTATTTATTCATAACTTTACAAACAAATGCTTTATAATAATTTTTTATAATGATAATGATACATTTTTATTATTATTTGAAGTACATTTAAGAAATGGATTTAAATCATTTAATTTTTCATTAATTATCAAAGCTATGAGTGGAAATAGAGTTGGCTCATGTTTAACTTACTGCAGCTGAGCTGAAGATGCATCTTAGTGAAAACATTCTGTTTTAACCGCTATGGTATGTGTAGGATGTGCTGCACTGCCCTTTAGGTTAACCAACCTGTGCAGCTTTTTTCTTTGCATGATCAGCTCCAGGGGGCTCCAGAGTATTCCCCACACAGAGTCAGCCTTCTCCACGGGCTCCATACTGCTCTGACAGATGGCTGGAGAGTGGATTTTACTCCTACAGATTTACAGAATATCTGTAACAATCAGGTGCAGACTGAAAGACATAACTATCCGGCCTGTTTTGTTATTAGTTGTAGAACGCCTTTTGTGCCATATTTCCAATTCAGTCTGTTGTTGAGGCATAAACCAACACCTCCACCTCTCCTGGAGACAGTGTCAACCTACTTCTGGGCTTCTGAAAATCCACCATTATGTTCGTTCTTGTTCAAAATGAGGTAGCTGTTTCTACTCCCTGAACTCAGGCTCTTGTATTTTTAAAGATGTCGGAAATCTGGGGCATGAGAGCAGAGAAATGGTGAGAGTCAGTCCTGTGTGGCGCTCCTCCGCTGCTGACCATCCTCCCTCTGCTTGTGTGAGGGAAAAGGGGTCAGAATGAGACTGTGAGGCCCATTTGAGGTGCAAAGTGCAGGTGTAATGTCCTGGAATGCAACATTCAAGTTTAAGGTTAATTTAAGAGTTTTACATGGGATATCTAGAAAACAACATATGAAATAAACATAAAACTCTTTAGTGAATCTTCTATCTGAGGCTTAATGGATTTGGACATAAATTCACAGTGAAAGGGTTTCCGGTTTGAATCCCAGCTGGTTCTTTGGATGGATGGAACATGTCAATATACAAGAAATGAACATATTCTTAATACAGTTTAGAAATAAACCCATTTGGATCATTTCCGCAGACCAAAACACTCAAATTTTGGTTAAATTTGACTTGCTATTTTACAAGTATGTTCAGAGCACAAACTGCATTTATTATAATCAGTCCATTTGATAAATATTTGATAGAAACTTTTATTATGTTTATGTTAAATAACTGTAGGAAGAAATCATTGGCAGCTGCATGGCAAATAACATAAAATACCACGTGGTCAAAAGCTAAACAAGTACAGACATATTATTAGAGCATCATTTGAATGAGTTATTCATTGAATAATCTTCCAATAATTATGTTATTACACGATAATTAAAGGACAACGTAAAGTTTGCCATGTTTTTTTTTTAATCTGCGTTAAATAGAGGAGAGGATCTCTGCGGGGGGGTCTGTGGTCTGCAGCAGCAGCTTTTCCTCTTGGCTGCAGGCGGAGCTGTTTCTCAGCAGAATCAGCCCCTCCATCACCTCCTCCACCTCCACCACCACCACCACCACCGCCTTTGCGTCAACCGTCCTCACACAGTCCGAGTCACACTCACCCAGCTCAGCATCAGCCCTCAGCAGCATCCGCATCCCACGGCCGACGGGACCAGAAGCACATCCCCATCTCAGCCTCCATTCCTCCACCGCCGCGCGCCTCCATCCTCTGCGCGCTCGCTTTTGGGTTAATTTTTTTTTGGTTTTTTTTGTGTGGGACTCGCCTTGGATTATTTTTTCTTTGTTGCATTCCGTCCTCTCCGAGATGCTTTGACGTTTTGAGAACGTCTCTAAGAGGACGACGAGGCTCGAGACCGTCCATTGCGCTGGAAATCTGGTGAGTGGGTTTGACTTTGGAGCGGCACAGATTCGCATTTTTTTTTGCCTGAAACGCGGCCATTTAGATAGATTTGGAACTGGGATGTTCGTCTAAATCTAAAAATATCGTCATTTTGTGACACAGCCACGAGCAGGGATGCGCAAAGCTTATTTTTTTTGTTGTTTATCTCCAAGCCACCGCCTATCGCGACCTGCCATCTCGTTTCGACGCAGAAACAGTTTCAGCACCACGGAGAGCTCCCCGTGCACGCGGTGGACCCATTTATCCATTTATCCATTTATCCCTCCATTTTTTAGGGCATTTCATAGCCATTAAAGCCCGCGTCCCGGTGCTGGAATGAGGGGATGGAAGTGTCTGGATCCTGCGCAAGAGACCAGATCCGATCCATCATCGCTCCCCCACGTTCACGAGAGGAGAAAAACACCTCGCGCGGCTCGTGTGGCCATTTTTTTTTTTAGTCACGTTTTAGGGCAGATTTAACCGCGGGGGGGGCGGGCCGTTGTTTTTTTTTTTTTTTTTTATCGCGCCTGAATCCCGCACCAAAGG